ATCCGGCCTTCATGCTAACAGTAATAAGATAGTGATAATACTATGAAACACATATGAGGTTTATTTCATGCCAGGCACTGTGCTGAGTGCTTTACAAATATTAACACATCACTAAGCATCAGGAAAATGCAAATCAAAACCACAATGAAATACCATCTCATGCCAGTTAGACCGGCTATTACCAAAAAGTCAGAGAATAACGAATGCTGACAAAGATATGGAGAAAGGGGAACTCTTCTACACTGTTGGTGGGACTATAAATTGGTGCAGCCATTATAGAAAACTGTATGGAGTTTCCTCAAACAACTACAGACAGAACTGCCATATGGCCCAGCAATCCCACTGCTGGGTATATACCCAAAGGAATGGAAATCATCATGTTGAAGGGACACCTGCACTCCCATGTTCATCACAGCTCTACTTATAATAATAAGGCTATGGAACCAACTAAATGTCCACTAACAGATGACTGGATAAGGAAAATGTGGCATATATACACAATGGATTATTACTCTGCCATAAAGAGGAATCAAATTCTGCCATTCACAGCAACATGGATGAGCTTGGAGAAAATTATTTTACGTGAAATAAGCCAGGCACAGAAAGAGAAATATCACGTCTTCATTCATATAAGTGGGATCTAAAGAAAATAAACAAAAAAGAAACAAATAAACAACAATCACAATATTTGAACTTTCAGAAGGAGAGAACAGAACTGAGGCCACCAGAGGAGGTAAAGGGGGAGGTGAAAGAGGGTTAGTGAGAAATTGGTAAAGGGCCACAAGAAAGGATTACATTATGTAATGTTGAATATACTAATTATCCTGATTTGAGCATCACATATTGCACATGGGTATTGATATGCAATGCTGTACCCCACAGACATGTATATATCAACTCATTTAATTATCTCAACAACCTTCTGAAATTGTACTCTTATTGTCTCCATTCACAGGTGAGGAAACTGAGGCACGAACAGGTTAGTAATTGTCCCAAAGTCACAGAGCTGATAAGCAGTGGAGCCAGGATTCAAACCCAGGCAGTATGTATCTGGAGCCTGTATTCTCAACCTATGACATCAGCAGGAATGAGCTTTGAGGGCAGGGCAGACCCCACTATATTCCTGTTCAGGAAGGAAAACCATGATACACTACTGAGCTTTTTTAAAAAAAGGAAATTGAGTAACAATGAGAACAATATGGTTTCATCTTTTTAATGAATATTCTACGTGTGGGTGTGGGAAGAGAGAGAGAAAAAGGGAAGGGGCGAGAGAGAGGGAGCTATATTATATTTGAATGTGAATTGGTTAAGGAGGTCTAGAAAATATCTTGACAGTAGTTATTTGGGGGAGTGGGAGTTGTATAGGTAATTTTTTTTTTTCCTTTTTGTCTTTTTTCGTGACCGGCAACGGGATCGCAACCCTCGGCGTCACGCCCGCACCTCGCTCAGCCAGTGAGCGGCCAGTCTGTATGTGGGATCCGAACCCTCGGTGGGAGCGCCGCTTCGCTCCCAAGCGGCGCACTGTAGCAGTGCGCCACCGGGCCGGCCCAGTATAGGTAATTTTACTTGTACTTTACATACTTATATATTGGTTTAATTTTTACAAGCATATGATCAGACACACACAGACACACACACGTACCTATTCCAAGGACCTGGTAAACATCAAATATCTAAGACTACTCCATTTTTTACCTGTACTCACTGACACAGCATTTGGCTTGGATATCCTCAATCCTGAGAGAAAAGATCAGGCTCTCCCCGCTCTCAGGCCCAATGCAACAACTATCATGTAGTAGGTATTCAAAAAATGCTGTTTGTGGTGCTGTTACTGGGAATTATGCTGTTTGATTCACACCTCTCTACTCTCTCAGACTCTGAGATCATTATAAGCTCTGCCAAGTTTTCAATGTCTAGGAAACTTTGGCTCTCTAGCTCTGGTATTGACCAACTTTTTTTCTCTAAAGAACAAGAAAATAAATATTTTAGGCTTCTCGGGCCATGAGATCTCTGTTGCAACTACTCCCACTGTGGTAGCATGAGATCGGCCAGAGAAAATATGCAAATAAATGGGCTTGCTGTGTTCCAATAACATTTTATCTACAAAAGCAGACAGAGGGCTGCATTTGATCCCAGGGCAGTAATTTTTGGACCCTTGCTCTAGCTGTTCAGAACAGTGTCATTTGTATTGAGAAACAGCTGATTTGTGTTCAGGAATGTTTTCTCCTGAAATTTTGAGGGCTTTGCACATTTGTGAACGTCCGAGTGAGGTACTTTGCAATTTTTGAGGTGTTGTTCAAATTCCCTTGACAATTACAACTGTCAGGTCTAACTGCCATGTGAGAGATTAGGAGCACTTTATCCCACAATCCCAGGGTATTACGTTGGGAGTCAGCATACACTTTGTTTCTTTTAACATTTTCTACAAAACAACCACTTTTTGTGTTTGCTTAGTTTAATCCCTAGCGAAGACAAGAGCGAGGGAACTCCCAGCCAACTGCTGATGGCTGCTTGTGCTGAAGGAATACCCTAGTCCCCACCCTTTCCAACCTTCAAGTGTCAGGAACAGTATCTTTAGGACAATGCAAGAAAGCTGTGGGCTGCACATCACCAGCCTGGACTATGCCGGGGCTCTCTTCTGCGTCTCAGACATGGTGAGACTGTTACTGTCCCAAGCCCGCCGTGTGCTGCTTTTATGCTTCTTCTCATTCCCCATAGAAGGAAACGATGCCTCCAAGTGTGACAGCTCTTTTCGACCCCACCTTCCAAAGGTAACCCTGCTCTCGCTTGGTCATAATTCCTACTGAGAATCCTAACAAAGTCCTTAGGAACTGAGCCAATTAGTCATTTCTTCATCATAGCTCCTCTCTGGGCTACCTCAGTAGCCTATTTCCTTAGCAGCCAACCCTGATCTTGTGTCCTGAAGTAAGGTGCAGTTAGTTCTCCTACCTTCTCCCCCTTATGGTGAGAGTACCCTGCTCTCCAAGAATACCTAACCTCCTGCTATGGTCTGAATGTCCGTCCCCTCCAAAGCTCATGTGGGAGGTTGATCTCAAACATGGCACGTTGCCAAGTGGGCCTTTGGGAGGTGATTGGATCGTGAGGGTTATGCCCTCATAAACGGGTTACTCTGTTCATAGATTAATGGGTTAATGGATAAGTGGGTTATCACAGGAGTGGCACTCACTGGCTTTATAAGGAAAGCAAGCGAGCAGGCGCAAGCTCTTGCTCAGCCCCTGTGCTGCTTCAGAACTCCTCAGAGAGTCCCCACCAAGAAGAAGGCCCTCACCAGATGTGCCCCCTTGACCTTGGACTTTCCAGCCTCAAGAACCATAAGAAATAAATTCTGTTTATACATCACCTGGTTTCAGGTGTTCTGTTCTCAGCAACAGAAAACAGACTAAAATACCTCCTTAAGGGATACGGAAACCAACCTTTATTTCCTAAATATTTCAAGGTCTTGACCTCCATGTTTCTCTTTACAGTTCCTCCAAAAAGGCCAGGGGACCTTCATACAATCAGGAACTTTGGCCACCCAATTATTGCTCAATAAGCAGTTGTTGGGCAAAACCTCATTAAGTATAAATAGTTTACAGGCTGAGGATACTTAAACCTCCCTCCTAAATTTGTAACTTTTTTCCTTCTAATCCCTTGGAACTGATATCTAATGTCCCTTTGGAAAAGGGCAAGGACAAATCATCCTGCCTAAGGTCCTAATCACAGAGTTTATTTGGAAAAATGTGTGCACTGAACACAAACAAAATCATTCTCATGATTTTAAAAGCCAATACATTAATGCTTACCTTTAAGTTCTACCCTGTGGATAGAGGGGAAAGATAAGAAACAAAGAGTGCTATTTTCCCTTCCTGCATTCTCTTAGGTATGCAAGTATCTAATTTAATCACATTTAAATTAAAACCTATGCATATTTCATTTGCACAGCAAACCTATCGTGCATAGACACCTTTATTTTAACCAAAACATGGACTCCCAGAAGAAAGTACCTCAAATTAAGGCCACTTTAGTGTGGGGGATTAGAATGGGCTATCTCATTTCCATACCTGGCTGTCAAGAGGAAAACAAGAAATTCCTTGTGAAAAAAAGGACTCTGTTCTGGTCTGTGATGTCACAATGTCTAGTGGCTGCAAACCTTGAAATGATGGAATTACTCAGAGCCTGCAATTTAAACTTTATTTCACATCTATTGTTAAATTACACAAACTCAGTGAATGGTTTGTAAAGCTACACCATTGGACAGATGTTTACAATTGAAATCATGAGATTTACATGATGATGACAAAAATGTATATTTATAACATCCCCTATATACAATAACCAGTATAGACAGAGAAAATACATTTAATCTCTGCAAACCATGCACACCACAGCAATAACACAAAATGTTTTTTCTGTAACAAGCTTTTCCACTGGCTCAGGCTTCAGCCTGCTTTCCAACAGTACCTATCAGTTTTAAGAGCAAACATTTTCAATTAAAACTAAACAAAATTGAAATACCATAGTGATCTACAGAATATTTTAAAAACACAATGTACACAAAATAGTTTCACTCTAAAACACTTCAACTTCAAGATGTATTTTTAAAAAAATTTCCCTTCAGTTTTTTAGGTCTCAGAATTCTCAGGATTGCAATACTGTCAGACGAAACAAAAGCTAGAAATATTGAAACCAGCTCAGAATCAAGAAAATCCATTTTAAACTCAAATGCTCAGCTTCTTGTCCAGCTTGTGGCAATATTATTACAGATGAAACTAGATCATGCACACTAGCAGATTGCAGAAGATGTGACTTTATGGTCACACTTTGAAGCATGTCCCTTTTGAAAACATAAATGCCACTTATAGTCACCTTGTTTGATTGATAGCCAGGGTGTTAGCGTAAGTCTGTACGAACGTTTAAAATGGAAACTGCCCAGAATCATGACACTTGACAGCACAGTGCGTTAAACACTTCTTTTTACCTTGCTCAAACAAGTATTTTTGCATACTCTACGAAATCCATCTCCTCAACTCATGTGTTCCTGATACTTAACCTCACTGCAGGACACTCTGTACTTTTGTTCTTTCTGAAGTCAAAACCTGGTGGAAGGGTTAACCCAAAGTATCTAGGTACAGCTTTTGGTGTTATTGAATAACACTGGCTATTATAATGTTTATTTTACCTTTTTTTTCCTCTCTTATAATTGTCTACAAATCTGTCAACATGAAAAAGAACTAATGGATTAGAAATAACCAGCCCAACTGGAAACATTACAATAAAGATGTACAAAAAGTAAATAACAGTTCACATTCAGGTTCAATTTTATCTGATCAAGAATAACTTCAGCAATATTTTTAGACACATTATCCTGTTCAAGAGTTTCTTGATAAGGACCTCACTATACAAACATGGATAAGACAATTCTATAGAAAGAAAGTCCTGACTTTAATCCAGGATTATATACCACAATAAATTCAGCAACACACCATTTAGATGATGAAGAAAGATTCTATACACGGGTTAGTTTGGAATGAGCACAACTTGGAGAAGCTTAAAATGAATGAGAAGCAGCGCCCAAAAGATTCCAGAATTGTTGAAATTACAGTGCCCTGCAAGCGTCTGGAAATCCGATCTTGACATTGGTATTCCATTTGGAGGAAAAAAAAAAGTGTTTTAATATGAGATACACCCTGTTTCAAACCTTTAGACGGCAGAAGGTAGAAAAAGTTTAAAATTTTCAACATCTCCTGAATAACAAGATATGAGTCCTGTTCTACTTTGAAAAGCCAATAATTTTTACACAAAACAACCCATGTTTGGGAGAGGATTTTTTTCATTTTCTGTAGTTTGGTAAAATTTATCATGCATTGTTATTCTATTTAAATAGATTCCTTGTTAAAAACCAGGGAAACAAACAAAGGTTTTGTGTTTCATTTTAGTCATTTTTTGTTTATACGTATGCTTACCCCTAGAAAAAAGGTTTGTTTCCAAGATTGGGTTTTAACAGCGTATCCTAAATATGTTCAAGTCCATTTCTGAGCCATAAATTAAATGGTCACATTTTACCTTTTCATTTTGTCTCCATAACTAATTTAAGAACTTCTTAATAAATCTAAACAGCAATTTCTGGTGAGTCTGGTTTGGCTTTTGGATTTCATAAATAGTTCAACTAAAAAAAGACAATTTAATTCTATGTTGAGATTGGCTTTACCCACACACAGTATAACACTGAATTGAAAGGCAACTGTAAAGGCAACATCTAAACTTTTTAACTCCCCAAATTAAGGAAGCAGGGTTTCCTAAGGGTTTGGACACTTTTATATCTTTTAAGATAGGCCATCTTTTTCGTGGCGCCCTTCTGAGCCATTTAGCGCCATTTCTCTACACTGCCTATGTAGTCATTGGTGCCATTGCTGGTGTTGCTGTCATTCTGCTCTTGGCCTGGATTCTGCTTCTGGCTTTCCCTGTTCTCCTTCTGGCTCACATTCAAACTTGAACTCTGAGTCCGATTCTGAATCAGATTCTGAGTCCGATTCTGAATCAGATTCTGAGTCAGATTATGATTGGCATTCGGATTTGGGTTCTGACTCTCATTCTGACTCAGATTCTGGATCTGGCCCTGACTCTGGCTCTGGAAATGGGTCTGAAGGAACCTGCCTTTCAGAAATTTGCGTTGTTCCTGACGCTTCTGCCTGGCCTCCTGATGCTCCTTCTGCCTCATAAACTGATACCTTTGCAAAAAGAGGTCTTTGGCATAGCTGTACAATTCCATATCCAGAAAATTCAGTCCCTCAATACGCTTTTGGGTTTCCTCACTGATCTCTACACTAGAAGCCCTAGTGGTATTATATTGGATAAACGGCGAAATAAAGTTCATGTTGAAGGTTTTCTCAAACAGATATTGGGTCTTCCGCTGAAACTCTGTAAGGCCAAAGAACGCCATGTGCTTCAGATTGGATTTGGCACTTTCCAGAAGGACCTTGTTTCTTTGCTTTTCGGGCATGACAGAAAGGTTGTAGCAGCCCACTAGGGTCAGGTCAGACAGCATGCGCACCTGGCGGTTGTTGGCTAGATTATAGGGACAGTCCATGAACTCTTTGAGGGGGCAGCCAGACCAGTCGTCACCAGTGTAGCAGCTGGGCAGCTCTTCAGAGGTCGGGGGCCTTCCGTCGCAGACATGCAGGGATGCTTTCCACGTTGCCCCTCTCTGAACATGCCTCCACTCACTCAAGTATCGGGACACTGGGTCTCGGAGAATGGTGATGTAGTGGAAGTTCCTATGGACAAAGCACAAAGATCGACAGTCAGAGATGTGGGTGACACGGTGGAGTCAGGGAGGTGCATGGCATATATGATGGTCACTGGCCAGTAAAGAAGGCAAAGGGGGAATGATAGGGATCTGGTGGCATTTGTTCTGTGAACCGTGCTGCAGTCCCCTCTCTGGGTCCTACTAGCCTGGCCAGATAGCTAATTCTTTCACCCAATTCGCTGATGCTGCAGCTAAAGAAGGTACGAAGAGGTTAAACTCAAGACATTGGCCTTGTTTTTCATTCCCTTTCCCCCTTCCCCTCTTTTTCTCCCTTTCAAACCAATGACAAAATCTTCCCAGTGACACCATTGGCTAAGCAGGCAGCTATTTTATTTTCTACGCCCCACTCCTCACCCCCCATGAACTGATCATGAAATGGAGACGCAGTGGAAGCAAAATGACATATTGATGTGAAATGCAGTTGATAAGTGAGCTGAAATTCTAATCTTTCTTATTAAATATGCACAAGCATTTTTCCAATATCCAGTCTAATCTGGATGTCTTATTTAAAAAACAAAACCTCATTGAAAGAGCATCTGATATGATGTGCTTGATGCTGGCTGCTGCAGTAATATCACAGCTCATACGTTATGGAAGTGGAATGTAGAGAGAGACCGAGCAACCCAAGGCCTCCAGAAATAAACAGTGTGGTTGGTCACTGACTGAAATAGACATGGTAGCTGTCAATGGCATATATGCAAGCTACCACCTTGGTTTCAGCCTTCACTCACATGATAATATTTCCAGGATAGAAAAATTATCTGTATCGGTTCCAAAATGTCCCTTTTCTTTACCCACTGAAAGGACACATGAATGTTAGCAAGTATGGAGGCTTCGTTGTGTGGCTATCTTCTCCTTTGAGCTGCAGATGAATAAAGTTCTTTGCTCAGACAGCTGACTAGCAAACATTTCAACCACACGCCGACACCCTTACACCCACACACAGTGAGCACACACACATGCACCGCACCCCAGAAACATCAAGATCTATAATGTGATCAGGCACGCTCAAGGAGAGAAACAATCCTGTAATTGTGCTTTTCGTGACAAATGAGTTTCCACTCAGGTACGGTGGATGAAGGATGAGGTCATGGAAGGGCATACCGTGGAAGGAAAACAACAATAAACACTGAATATTAGCATTTAGTTTCTTAAAGGAAACCTGGGAACCGGCTTGCAATTTTTCTGAAGTTTATTCATTCCCATCTGAGGCAATGGTGGTTCTCTCTGCACATACGAGGAGCCAGAGGGAACCTATTCAATGACCTGGCTGACTAGAATGGTGGCTGATGTTCTGTGTGGAAGCATTTCTCCCAACTCTTGAGCTTCTAGCAACTCAGGCATCCTGAGATCTATCCTCTATGCCTCTGTGCTGTGCATGGTATTTCTTCTGCCTGGCACGATCTTTCTTTGACTGGAAAATTGTACTCATCCTTCAAGTCCCTGTTCAAGTACCATCTCTCCTTTGAGAAAATGTACCCCACTCCTTGCTGCCAGCCATCCTCTGTGTTGCCATAGCACTTCCATATTTAGCCTTGGTTAAAATACTTTTGATACTGAATTACAATTCCTTGTCTGTCCTTCCACTTAAACTCTATGTTTTCCAGGCTAGAAGCTCTGTTCTATTCTTCGGTAACTCTCACCCCATCCATTCCAGTTTGCACGTTGGCCTTTATACCTGGCACAAAGCAGAATCTCAGTAACTCCTTTAATTGCTTTTTCAATGAACTATTCTGGGAAAAAGGAAGGGGAAAGTTGGGGACATGCCTCATCATATAAAAACTCTAAATAATCTTCCAAGTGCCTTGCAAAATCATGGAAAAAAACTTTTATTACCTTATACTTTTTTCTGGAATAAACAAGCATTGTCACAAGAGAAGTCTCTCAGAGTAAAGGTGGAGGGGATGGCCAAGAACACCTTCACTTAACTCACTACTTTTCCTAGGACCTGACCTTGTTGGTACCACCAAAATTTATCTGTAAAGACCCCCTGGCAAAGAGTAGCAGCTTCCCCCCCCCCCCGTAGCCTTTACCAACGAAGATGACTACTAGACCCATGGGCTCTCTCCCTCCACCCCTAGTTTTGGTATTCATTCATCCATTCATTCGCTCGGTACGTATTCATTGAGCCTTTATGCTATGCCTGAGGCAACAGTTTAGTGGCAATTAATCTCATTATCTGGAAAAAAGAGAAATTTATTAAGTCCAGTGACACATTTGGATTAACCTTTCAACCAACTTTTCCAGGTATGCATGGTAATGTGGAGGCTACTGGGTATTTTAAACACCCATTATGGAGTCACCTTCATGCTTAGCTGACAGTCCTCCTGCTCTAGTTTGTTTCATTGGTTTAAGTCTACAGTGACCTCTTCTGGTAACTCTTAGAGTGCACCACAGTGCAAATCTGAGCCTCTCCTTCCTAAAAACTCCTTGCCTTTCAGAGCAGTTAGATTCATAACCACCAGAGTTAGTGTTAGAATCAATGTTTTGTAAGACCACCCCCACATGGAGAGAGAGAGGCTGCAACACAGACAGACAGAGGCAGATATTCAGAATGTCTCTCACGTTATGGATGTGTGGTTTCAGTACAACTTCAACCTCAAAGTTGCATAGTGCCTGTATGAGATAAGGACAGGCCAACGTGGGCAGCCTCGGTCTCTATGTTATAGGGATTATCATTGCAGCAGAGAAGTTAGAAGGGTCTGTACACACACACACACACACACACACACACACACGCACGCACGCACACACCCACACTGCTCTGGTGATAACAGCTAGACTCAGATGACAATGACTCTGGAGATCCATTGAACGTCAACAGCCCCCTTCTTCCAGGGAAAATAGTCTTGGGAGCCCAGACTGCCTCGATTGGAAAAACTTGATGCTGCTTGAAAATATGATCCCATGGGTGAAAAGGAAGGCCTGCTGAAGGCTAGGTCTCCAGCGTCCACTGGCCTTCTAAATTGCATGCTGTTTTGGGGGTGGGAAGGCAGGTAACGATAACACCTTGAAGGTTTAATTGAATAAAGGATGTAGCATGCTCATTATTCTGAGGGAAGAGCTTTGAGGGAATTACTAGAGAAGCAGTCTTCCTACCCAGAGCCACTGAGAATGTGAAAGCCCAGCCTGATGGGAACGTGGCTGGGGAGGCAAGCAGACACAAACAGGGACTCTTCCAGTAGCCAGGCCCGTTCAGTTCAGCTCAAGACTTGCTTACTCTCAGCACCTAATGTGTGTCTGGCACTGAGACAGGCACTGGGCACACACACAGGGATAAGACATGGGAACCTAAGGAAAGCATTTCAATATAAGGAGCTGTTCACGATTGGGACAAGTACAGGGTGAGATGAAAGCACCTTGCGGCAATTTTTAGCCTGGCCTAAAGATAGGGGAAAGGTTTTGTAGCTTTGTTATAAAAAAAAGAGTAAGACTTAGAAGAGGCAAGAAGAATGTAAAGGAGTTTGAGACAGGAGGGTCAGCAAGAGCAAAGGCAGAAAGGCATCCACCAGCCTGTTGTTTGGGAGAAGAGCCCATTAAAAAATCTCCCGAGTAAATAAGGAGTCGTGGCAGGAATTGAAGATGGAGAGGTAGCCAGGGACCTGGTGGTGGAAGGCCTCAGATGCCATGTTAACGAATTCAGACTTAATTCTGCAGGCAACAGAGAGACCTTTGAATGGATTTAAGCAGGGGGACGACATGCTGAGGACTGTGTGTGGAGATGGAATTAGGGCAATTAGTTAAGTGGCTACTGCAGAAGACAAGGCAAAAGAGGAGGAGGGGCAGACTAGAGAAATATTTAGGAGGAAGAATTAACAAGACTTGGTGCCAAAATGCATGCAGGGGAGAGGGTGGAGGAGGAGTTAAGGATGCCTCGCAGGTCTCTGGGGGAAGGTTTGAGGTGCCTGTGGGACATCCGCTTACAGAGACAGATCTAGCACTGACCGATCTAGCACTGAGAGAGCGATCTGGGCTTAAGATAAAGGAAAACAGTCAACGAAAAATAGTAGCTTCAGACCATGAGAATCTACTTAGGGATCTGTTTTTAATTCCACTCGTGTAGGCTTCAGATATTTGAGGACAGCATTTGTGTACCCTGAGGCTTCTCTTCTTTATGCCGAATATGGTTTTCAACTATTTTCTACACTGCTTCAAGGTCCAACACTATCCTGTTGCTTGCCTCTGAATGTATTCCACTTTATCAGAACATGAGATGACAAAGTCTGTCAAGGGACAGTCTATCACCTCCTTCATTCTTGATACCATTTCTCTTAATGTGGCCTCAGATTACATAGAGCTTTTTGGCAGCCATGCCATGCCACTGACACACAGTAAGCTAAATTGTTTCAATCTATCACACGTATGACTTTTTGAAGCCCAATCTACATTGTTCTAGACTGATGCCATTAATTTGTGCCTTGCTTAACTTCTTGTTAAAGTAAGTCTAAGAGTGTCAAATTATATCTGGATTCTGATTATATCCCCCAATATCTTCTCCATATTTTCTTGTTCCTGTTGGCAATACCTATATGCAGGCATTGATCAAAACAAAACAAGACACAGATGAGAGCAGGTCTGTGGTAGTTGCTGGAAATCCTCCTTCAGGTTGACATAAACCTGTATCGTTCTGCTGAATGCACTGATTTAATTCTAAATGAGTGAGGCAAGCTCAGCCCCAGGAAAATTATATTCAGCCTGTTTCAGTTAGTAGTAATCGAACAAGACTATCTTGTGACCAAATGTGTCACTTAATTAAAATGATCAGGTTTCACATTTTTAAATTGGAGTCATGACTCCCCAGTAGTTGCCTGAGTTCACTTAATGCCTGACCGTTCGGTGCCTCTGTATGCCCGTGGTGCCTCCTGCAGAACAGTTCTCCACTTGGCCTTGGATAGACCCAGTTCTACCCTCTTCCTTGCTTGTGGATCTCAACAACAACCATAGAATGTGCTGGGAATGCACTATCCT